GTTTTGGTTACCATCAAATATAGATAAAGGATGAGGATGTTGGCAAAACAATTTTTCGCACTAGTCAGGGACATTATAAGTTCTCAGTCATCATGCCTTTCGCCTTAACTAATGCTCCTGCAACCTTCGAGGGGTTAATGCATCAACTGTTCAAGCCATTCCTACGAAGTTTTGTACTTTTGTTCTTTGATGATAGACTGGTGTTTAGTCATTCTTTGGAAGAGCATGTCCACCTTTTTCGTTTGGTACTTCAGGTTTTTCAAGATCAACAACTGTTTTCTAATAAGAAGAAGTGTATGTTTGGTATGCCTGAGGTGGAGTATTTGGGACATATTATATCTCATAATGGGGTGGCTACTGATAGTTTAAAGACAAAATCAATGAACGTGTGGCCAACTCCAAAGACAATTAAGAAGCTTCTCATTTTTTAGGTCTCACGGAATATTACTGACGTTTTGTTAAAAACTATAAGGTTACTGCTAAACTTTTGACAACTCTATGGAGGAAAGATCAATTCATGTGGTCTGTTAAGGCTCAAGCGGCGTTTGAGGAACTGAAAGATGCAATGAAGTCTGCTCATGTATTGGCGTTACCTGATTTACTAATCAATTTATTGTGGAATCTGATGCCACAGGGTTCAGAGTTGGGGCCGTGTTGATGCAAGATAAGCAGCCTATCATTTTCTATAATCACGCTCTGACACCAAGGGAGCATCTCAATCCTGGTTATGAGAAGGAGTTGATGGCAATGTTGAAATGGAACCATTACTTGTTGGGTCATTGGTTACTATTCATACGGATCAACGCAGTTTGAAATTTTTGTTGGAACAACAAAAAGTAAACTTGGAATATCAGAGGTAGTTGGTCAAACTTTTGAATTTTGATTTCGAATTTTTTTATAAGCGAGGGTGTGAAAACACGGCGGCTAATGGACTTTTGCATTCTTTCAAATCTGTTAATATGTCTTTAACTAGGAAATTGTTATCTTTCAAGATGTCTTATGTGCTTCCGTTACAACATGTGTATAAAGAAAATGAGGGAGATAATACAGAAACATTTTAATACTTCATTTGACAATCTGAATTATCAAGTTCTAAATGCAAGATTATGGTATAAAAGAAGAAGTTTATTCCACTTCTGTTGAGTGAATACCATGATAACAAGAGATGGGGACATTCAAGAGTCTTAAAAATGTTGAAGAGGATCCAACAATCATTTGATTGGAAGGGCATTTATAAGAGGTTCAACAATATGCTGCAGGATGTTCTGTTTTTCAGACTCGTAAACATTCTACCCTTCTTACAACCTTTGTCTCTTCTGATTTGTATTTGGAAAGATGTTACTTTAGATTTTTATTAAAGATTTTCCTATGTCACAGGGAGTTAATATTGGTGGTGGTGGATCGGTTAAGTAAGTAGGTTCATTTCTTTCCATTGAAACATCTTTCTCAACAGTGGATGTCGCTGTTAAATTCATTGATGGGGTGGTTCGCTTACATGGTTTTTCGAAGAATATTGTCTCAGACAAGAACCGGATTGTCTTGAGTACCTTTTGGAAAGAGAATTTTCGTTTGGCTGAAACTTAGTTGAAGTATAGCATTGCATTTCATCCTCAGACAGGCGGTCAATCGGAACTGTTTAATACGTGTTTGGAGACTTATCATCGTTTCTTTGTATCTCAGCATCCTCGTACTTGGACTCGCTTCTTGGCTTGGTCAGAGTTGTGGTACAATACCTCGTAACATACCTCTCTTAAGTCTACCCATTTCAAGTTGTTTATGGCAGGGAACCATCTGCAATTGTACGGTTTGAAGAAGGTTCAGTTACCAATTTTGAATTGGAAACATCTTTGCGTGAACGAAACACTATGTTAGAAGACATTAAACATAATTTGCTGAGGGCTCAAGACATGATGAAGAAGTATGCTGATCTTCATAGGCGTGGTGTTGAGTTTGAAGTGGGGAGCAAAATTTTGAAGTTAAAACCTTATCGCCAGCAGTTAGTCCAACGGAAAGTGTGTCAGAAGTTAACTGCGAAATATCTTGGACCTTTTGAAATTCTTGCAAGAGTTATAAAAATAGCATACAAATTGGTTTAGTACGTTCTTCTATTATCCACCCATTGTTCTATGTGTCTCAGTTGAAGGCGGTAGTTGGTTCTGGTTATGTAGCTAATCAAGTTCCTTCAGAGTGTTTAGATGAGGAAGAACATTTGATGGTACCTTTGGAAGTATTGCTACACGTTATGATGCGGAGAGTATATTGGAGTTGTTGGTGTAGTGTAGTGGTAGTCCTTCCCATGATAATTCTTGAATGTCTTATCCCATAATAATTCTTGAATGTCTTTTGATGAGTTTGTGAAGTTATATTCGTTTTTAAAATTTAGGACAAGCTTGGTTTTAAAAGGGAAAATATTAATATGTATAGAAAGACGTATGAGAGGAAGATAATGAAGAGTGTGGAGAATAGGAGAGTTGGGTATATTGATTTAAAAATTGAGGTGGTAGTGTGAAAATAGCTGACGTGGATTGTCCGTTAGAATACATTGGAGTATCCAAAGTCTTTGCTAGATATGTGGCAACAAGTGACTATTGTAGACCACTTTTGTGGAGATAGGATATTCCTGTATAATTCAAAAAAATAAAACTATATATTTTCTTATGCTTGATATGAAATAGTAGATATATTTAGTGAGAGTTCATATGTGGTTTATTTATCTATACATGTTGGTTTAATGTGTTTATTTTCGCATTGAAGTCAAATCTCCTATATATTAATTGAGAAACATTTAAAAAGATGTAACTTTAAGTTTGATATAAATAAAAAATAATTTCATCCCATGTGGCATCTCTCTATGCCTTCTAATTCAATTTAGAAGGATTCTAGAGCACTTTATACAAACTATAGTCTAAAAATTATATTCTCTAACAATATAATATTTCACAGTCTATAGTTGGTTGCATATATCAAATATTCATTGTTCCGCAAGCTTTCGTTATATAAAACCTACAAAATTATCTAATGTGATTAAAAATATATATGACAATTAATTATTTTAAACAATAAAGATTTGATAACAATATGTATACTTTTTATCATTTTTGTTTATTTATTTATTATTAAAATAAATTACACAATTACATTAATCATATAATAAAAATCTAGATTTTTTGTGTATGTTGTATTTCAAATTTTTCAAAACGAGTATAAATTACTAAAACTGTTAAAAGTCTCACATAAGGTTTTATGATCAAAATTTAAATTTTTTTATATTAAGATACAATTACTATAAGACCATATGAAGAAATAATTTTATTTTAATAGGTTTTATGTCAATATATACACACACACACACACACACACACACACATATATATATATATATATATATATATCTTATATATTAATTCTGAAACATTACAACATTAAGTGTAGCCACGTGTCATCACTAGGATCACTCTTATAATCCTTAGAAAAGTATGTTGTTCTATCTAAATATAAAATATACTTTTAATTAAATAAACTATCAAAATGATTTGTAATGATAGAGAATATTTTTATTATTTCCTTAAGTAAAAGCTACGGAATTACCTAATATGATTAACATATATATGATAATTAATGATTTTAAATAACAAATATTTTATAATAGTTTTTGTATCCTTCATCATTTATGTGTAATTTATATTATTAAAAAACAAATAATCACATCAACCATATAATAAAAAATCTATATTCTTTTTCTTATATGTTATATTTTTATATTTTTTAAACGGCTAAAAATTACTAAAACTGTTAAAAGTCTTACAAAGAAAATTTTGTGAAAAATTATTTTATTTTTTTGTTATAAAAATATAGAAATCTCCTAAATATTAATCCTAGAGCATTACAACATGTTTTTGTAGTCATGTGTCATCAACGGGATATAATTCTTAAGATCCTTATAAAAATAAGTTGGCCCGTAAAATTATATATTATACTATTTATTAAACTAACTATTAAATTAGTTCTTAGTGTACCAAAGAATATTATTTCTTTCTTTAAATAAAAGCTACAGAATTACCTAATATGATTAACATATATATGACAATTAATGATTATGAATTATATACAATATAAAGTAAACTAAATGGTTTTTTTTTTTAATTTATTTACCAAAAACATGATTATAAATTAACAAAAGATATTAGTTTTGATTTATGTGCTTACTCTAATGTATATATACTTTTATGTATACAAATTAATTTTTAAATATGTAGTTTCTAATATGTTATTTGATCCTCACAATCCGCGAATTAAACTTCTCCAAATCGAAGTGACTTTTAATACTGTAAGCACTATATATATATATATATATATATATATATATATATATATATTATTTAATTCAAATTAAATAATTTAGTCTTGATATTTATTCCTAAAAAGCCTTTAATGAAATAGCATGACAAGTCCAATCATTTTCTTTTGAGTTTGTTCAAAGAATGAGAGATTTGGTCATTCTTCTAATATTTATTTCTCCATAATATCCAATATAGCTATTATAGTTTATCCGAACAAGACATATGATCTTAGTACTTTGAGATTTGGTTATAATCTAAACCGAACAGAAATCCGAACTAGGTCCGAAGATATCTAAAATTAATATAATATGTTAATATTTTTTGTATACCAAGGTAATTTATATATTTTATTGTATTCGAAATATTTTTGTAGTTTGTTTTAATTTTAATTTAGAATATCATTTAGTTAGTTTAGATAGTTTAACTAATTTTAAATAGATTTACGAATAATTTAAATATCTTGACAATTTTTTTGTCAATTTTGAGGTATCAAAAATACTTTTTGGGACGATTTCAGATTTTAGTTACAATCCAATCCAAACTAAATCCGAAAAGAAACCAACCGAAACCGATACGATAATTAGTAAAATCTAAATGAGTCTATAAGCATTATACCAAAAATTTAAAAATCCGAATCAACCGAACCAGAATCGACAGATCCCCGAATACCCACACATATTATATATTTAAGAGAGCAATATTTATATTCGTTATTTTACAATCGATAAAGAATATAATGTTACAAAATTTTAAAACCAAACAAAATTTAATATAAAAATCTCACTCCACGCCCATATCATCTAGTTAAAAAGTATATAAGCGACTAATACATTTGCTTTCTTGTCAACGAAAGGGAAAAAAATGTAACAAAGTAATCAAACAAAACTGTGTGTGGGTCAGTAAATACATTTCCATGCTCTGTTCATAATCTGGTCTTCTACAAACGGACGCAATGACCACATCATAGTGTAAGTATCTAGATCATCAAATGATGTCTTCAAACTAAGTGACCTCACAATCTTTTCCTGCAAAACAGTATCATCCACTTCTCTTCTGTAAGACTTTTTGAAAGTTTAAAGATCCAACATGCATCGTATCTAAATGTTCAAAATCTCACAAACCTGCATAACATGGTTCTGCTTCACCATACTGTAAACCACTGCAATAACTGTAGCATACTCTGTAACTTCAGGTTCTTGAGGAAAAGGTGCAGTCTCGTTCTCCTAAAACCAAACAACATAACTCTTCTCTAAAACCTTTTTTTTTTGAACGACCAACTCTTCTCTAAAACCATTCTTCAAAGATATACAAGTATTGAAATCTTACTTCATCACTCGTTACTTGCGGCAATTCATCACTTGAATCTTCATCTAGTTGCCTGGAAAACGTTGTTGCAGTCTCAATTGCAAGAGCTGCATCATCGGTGAGATGCTCGAGCCCAGATAACAAGCTTTGAGCTGCAATTTCCACATCTTAAAGATTAGAAGGGCATATATGTGGTAGTGAGTTGATGACATGTAACATTACACAAAGCAATATGGCGATAAACAATCAAATACATTATTATATTACCTTTGATTAGGTGGTCAGAAAGTCCTGACAGGGATGTATGCACTTCTTAACCAGAAGTTTTTGCGAAGGAAAAAGGAGAAATGTGTAAGCAAGAAACGAAAAAATTGCTGAAGAAGTGTTTTTAAAACATGAAACTTTTTGGAATAAATTGGACAAACTATAAGAGTTAGATCAAAAGAGCTGATAAGTAAACTTACAAGCTCGTGTGCTTCTTGCAGCCTCATCGATGTTGATACAGCCTGCTTCTATATATGACTTAAGCCGTTTTGTTTCATTGTTCTTGAGAATGTTCTCGATCAACTTGGAGGAAGTGACTATCGGTGAGCGTTTGAGCAAGCCTGTGGATATGAAATTCATAAGAAATAATGTCACAGTGAAGACAATAAATTTACGTACAGAGTGCTTGATGAAAGCGTAGAAGAAAGGTGTTTGCAGCATTATCTAGTTCCTCAAGCTTTGTGATCCTGTAAATCATTGCAACAATCCAAGATTCAGAGGTTTTGTAAATAGAAGATGAAAATAACTCAAAGCAAACACACCTCATCATAAACTCTTTAAAAATCTCGTAAATCTTCTGTTTCAGTTCGCTTCTTGCTTCCATCTCTCTCGTCTTTAATTCAAAAGACACATGTAAGTAACCATCAGTTTTCAAGCTAAAAAATGACCAGAAGAAAGTTGTATAGTCTCGGACTTTTGAGGAGGCGACGCTGGTGTAGATGGCGCTTTTTCAATGGAGTTGGGGCCGCGGGACGCCTCTGGAGATGGCTACTTTGATGGACAACCGGATCTGCAAGTCGTCTGTGTTCACAAGAGGAGGAAACCACGTTTTCCCTTGACCTACTCTCTCTGCTCTAAATCTATTGCTTGCTCTTTTAATTGATTCAGATGTAACCTAGCTTTACCGTTTTCCCAATCTCACCGGATTCTATGTATTTCTCCGATTTGCCCAATTAGGGTTGATCATAAATAAAATATATTATTATTAACAAAAAAAATAAATAAATAAGCTTGGTGAATCAAAAACTGAGGATTGTTTGGGCATTGACACAATTTCCCTTATTTTAAACAGTTCGTTTTTTTTGTTTTTTTGTCAACCCAAAAAAAATCCCCTATATATTAATTGAGAAATATTTGAAAAGATGTAACCTCAAGTTTGTATTAATTAAAAAGTAACATTGCTTAGTTGTCAATCAATTAGCATACCAATTAAACTGACGTGGCAACTTTAGGTTCAATCCCCTATATATATTAATTGAGAAACATTTGAAAAGATGTAACCTCGAGTTTTTATTAATTAAAAAGTAACCTTGCTTAGTTGTCAATCAATTAGCATATCAATTAAACTGACGTGGCGGCTTTAGGTTCAATTGAAATTTGCTAGGGAAAAATAATTAGAGACGCATATAACGCATGTAACATAGTATATATATTTATATATATCGCACGCATGTAATGGAAGAAAAGGAAAATATACGATTTGATAACGATTTGCATATATTAACTATAATAACTTCATTCATTTTAATTTATGGAAGTGTATATGTAAAATGGAAAATACTTAAATTCAAATAATCATAACGTAATTTATAAATCATTGGTGTAAAGTTTTGTTACACAAATATGCAAATAATCATAAAATCATATGAGTAGAAACCTCATTTAATAAATATCCATATTAAAGTGTACTATATTACTATGTTTATATCATTTAAATTTAATTATATATCATATATAATATATAAGATTGATTATTTTGATTTATTTACCCTAATTGTGAATAAACAAGAGTAATAGTTAAATTTATATGCATACGCCAATTTGTTACATAATAGTAATTGATTTCTTAGTGATTTAATATATATATATATATATATATATTTATTATTTTATTATTTATAATATGCAGAAAAATATAAAATAAATAATAAATATAAAATACTTATTGTGCATAAAGTGCAGATCTTAACCTAAGTATTTATCTGTTTAATTATTTTAAAACTTAAATATTTTCTAAATTTCAGGTCAAAACAAACAAACGAAATGAGAAT